TTAATTTAACTAATCACACAATGCAAAGACAATAAATTATATATATATATATATTTATCGCGAAAACTTACGTCGATATGAAATCATGCTGACGTCACTTGGAGTATTATTAGTTATTAATTTATTATCCATATTGCTTGAGAAAAATGTTCACACGAACGTGTTTACATGGTCATGAGATACGATAAGATCTTTTAGTATTATTAAATTGAAATTAAAAAAAAAAAAAAAAAAAAAGTGTCCATTATATAATTTGTTGCATTGGAAAATATTAAAATTACATCAAGTCTATCTTAATTAGTAGTATTTTGAAAAATATATAATTAATGATGTAGCTGAGATACTAATTCGTCGTCTTGTGGTAATTGATTAATTAATTAATGAATGAATTAATTAGTTGATGGTAATAATCCCATTAATAAAATAATTAGTAGTTACTAGTTGGTAGTCACAACTCATAAGTCATAAGTCAGCAGATGATACATTGGTATACCATCATTTCAAGTTACATTTATTTAATTCTAAAAAATCCATATTGATCTCATTTTTTTTTTAATAATTGATATCCAGATCAATTCTTATTAAATATTTTTGTATATATAAAATGGATCTTTATTTTTATTTTTGGATGAATTAATAAATGGTACCATTTTGGGCCAAATTTTACTGGACTCAATCGCCCTAATTATTTTAGAAGCCTTGTTGAATTTGGGCTCACATATTTTTTCTATTTTAAATATATATATGACTACAAATAATTTCAGCCTCAAAACGGTGTCGTGGTGTAGTTGGTTATCACGTCAGTCTAACACACTGAAGGTCTCCGGTTCGAACCCGGGCGACGCCATAACCTTCACAATTCTATTTCCTTTTTCGCACCGATACACAAACGACGTCGTAATTAACGCTCCAACGCGTAGCCGCTACGCGCGGTGGTGTAATCCTGCGTCAGTTTGTCCAATCAATCCGTCCCACGTAATCACCCCCTCGATTCCTATTGGTCCGTGAACTCCACGTCATCACCAACCACATTTCACGCCACACATCGGAATTCCATTCCGTTCTTTTTTCTTCAGTCTCCCCCAATCGATACGCAGAGAAATCCAATTTCCTTTTTCTTCTGCTCAATCAACCAACAGAAAATTTTCCACCAATTCCCTCGATTTTCTATTCAGATTCTCCTTTTTATTTTTTTATTCTGTCACCGAAATCGATGGATTTGAGGCTGCGAACTCCGATCATCGCTGCAGCAGCGTTGTGTTTGATTTTGATCGGAACTCAACTTTCAAAATCGACCGCTTTGGTTGCCACCCATGATTTCAATCCTCCATATCCTAAAGCTATTTCGGTAAGTTCTAACAAAATTCAAGTTTTTTTGCAATTATTACCCGTTAATTCTTTCATATTGTTGCCCATCATGTAAAAAAGAAGCGATTTTTATTTATTCGATTGTGTCCGTTGAATGAATCGACATGGGGTTTATTATTGAAGCGAGAATTTTGATTTTCCCCCAAAATTCGTTGGCTATTGTAGGACTTAAAGGAAGCTATTGTGAAGGGATTAGGGTTCCAAGCTGATGATGTTAAGATAACCGGGTTTGATTTGAGGGATGTCCTTGTAGGGAAATCGATAGCGTATGAATTCGATGTGGAGATTGATAATAAAGTTCTGCCCATCAAGCTGTTGGAGGATGTGAAGAAATGGGAATACGTTGATTTGCCGATTTTCCGAATGGAGCACCCAGTTAGGCCAGAAGACAAAAACGGGTTGTTAGAGAAACAGCAATTCGACGATCAGATGCCTGTTCTCGCACCTTTTCAATTGGCTGGTCCAATGGAGTTATGGATTCAAGATGCCAAGGATATGAGAATATCGTTGCCTGTAAGTTCTTGTTGCCGTACGGGCATTTTGTTTTTATCCTGTTTTTTCATCGTTTAAGTTATAACTGTGATCATCGAGCATTGAATTAGCTGGAAGTTCGTCGGCATTTGTTTGTTCTGTATCTATAATGTAATATACCATAGAGAAAATTTCAGCTTATAATGTAGTTTCCATATAGAGTGAGTGTAAAGATTAAAATTTGCGCGTTGTTTCATTTCACTATAGTGCAAAATGCGGTAGTTTTAGAATCCTACATCACTCAGAATGCATAACTGAAATATCTGAAAAGTGTTCTTGTTTATTCTCGATAATCTTTGTTAATAAAAGGGAATTCAAATATCTGTCGATGGAGTTTTATATCATAGGAATGTAGTGTGATAAGATTATTTTTCTCCTTTTATCCCTACTCGTTTTGTTGATTTGTTTATCGTTCTTATGCGACACGCAGCACGATGTGGATGCCGGTGTGCTGAAGAAAGTGATTTTAGCAGATGGTGCAGTAGTCACCGTAAAGGGTGCACGTTCGGTTAGCTTACGTCACCCGGTTGAGCTTCCACTTCCACTCAATCGAACAAACAACAACTTCGCCTCAGGCCTTTTAGCGCTAGCGGAGCATCTCCAAGAAGCCGCCCGATCCCAAGATGGCCCACTACTCTCCCTCCGCATAGTGGGGCCCACATCGCTCTCATCACCCGCTGCCACGTCATCGTCGCCCTCCAACAACAGGCTCAAGCTCAAGCGCCTCGCCCCCGGCCTGGTGGAGTTATCCTCCCCATCTGCGTCGAAGAGGAGGTCCACCGTACCCACCGTGGACCTCCAAGGAGAGGGAGAAGCCACCGCACTTCTCGCGTCGGATCGATTCACCACGCTCTGGCCAGTCGTGTCGATCAACGGCTCGAACGCAAACTTGATGGGGTTCGAGCAGCTATTATCCTCTGTGCTGGGGCGCAGGGCGGATAAGGCGGGGTCGTTCAAGCTTCTGAAGGCTGATGTGTCTGCTCAGACGTTTACGAAGATCGGTTTTCAGGTGGAGAAGAAGGTGAGAGAAGGCGATGTGATTGGTTTCGAGGGTTTGCCCGCGTGGAGGACTAAGCCCTCTACTGTGAGGATGCATTTTGAAGTGCTGGCTAAGGTCGACGGGAATAAGGTTGTACCGGAGAGAGTCGTACAGGTGAACCCTGTAATAGCAGAGGATTCCGTGGCACACAGTGTCCTTGTGGGCAATGTTACAATGTCGAAAATGCCCCTCGTTCAGCAGCCTCCAAATCCATTTGCCTTGTAAAACTCTTGTTGGGAGATGAAGTAATATTCTTGAAGATGAGCTAACCGTGAAGAATTTTTTTTTTCTTTTTTTTTTTTTTTCTTTTTGGGTAGTGACATATAATATATTAGATACATCATATGCCATGAGATGGTACAATATGTGAACTTCTTGTATAGCAAATATAGATAAGTTGATGATACCTTGTAAAAGTGAGTTGATTTTTGGGATTAATTTTATTGATATACATTTATATATGTAGGGTAAATCATGTCCACTCTCTTGAGGTAATGTTAAATTACGAAAAACCCCTCATCTATGAATCTTCTTACACGTTCATTCTTATGGTGTAAAATGCAATATTCTCTCCTAGATTATGTGGAATGTTTTCTAATTTGTACTCATTTTATGCAAAGATGCAGTTTTTGATGCACCACAGTCTGATATTTACAAGTCAAGAGACACATCTTTTGATCATCTTGTTTCAACATATAGAGTTCGAAAGGGGTAAAACGGGTACAAGCTGAAAAATATTGAACATAATCTAGAAGATTTTCACTAAATCTTCTAAATTTAGTGGGTTCACAGTTGAAGGAGTGATTATAATTACCTAAACAAAAAGTGGAGTTTTCGTAATTTAACCTTACCTCAGAAGTAGCCCCGTAATTTACCATTTTGTTATAAAAAAACAAGCAAAATGATGGTGGTAAGATGAAGACAAATAATAGTTTAAGGAAATGGAAATTTCATAAGCACCACCAACCAAGGTCAATTAGTAAGTCCATGGTGGAATATTAATATATTATTATATTAATTATATTATAAATTAATCTTCTTATAATCTAATTAATAAGCATAATAAACCCAATTAGTGCCAATCAATCAATCAATTCAATCCACATTAGAAAGCAAGAACTACTATTGATTGCATTTCAATTTCAGTAGAAAATCCAAATGAGTCTTCTTGTAGTAGGGATTTCTGCATCATTTATACCTCCAAACACACTCTCTCTCTTCCCCACTAAGAACAATCCCAAAATCCCAGGTTTCTCTCTCTCTCTCTCTCTCTCTCTCTCTCTCTCTCTCTCTCTCTCTCTCTCTCTCTCTCTCTCTCTCGTACGTATGTATATTGAATTTCTAATGGGTTTATGCAGAAAGAAGGAATTCGATTCTGCGCAGTAACACTTACAATCTCAATTGCTGCAATACCGATCGGCAATTAACATCGGAAACTATGGAAATTAACCGGACCCTTTATTCGGATATAGAGCCGTACAATTCGGGTTTTCTCAAGGTTTCAGAAATTCACACAATTTACTACGAACAGTCTGGAAATCCAGATGGGCACGTGAGTTTTCATTACCTTACCTAATTTGCTGCCTTTTTTTTTAATCAGCATTTTTCGTATTTTGCTATTGAATTCGATTCTTGAATTAACATATGCTTGCCTAGAACCATAGCATTTGATTGGGTTAATTTTTGATTGATTAATGTTTGCTTTAAATTGCAGCCAGTGGTTTTTCTCCATGGAGGTCCAGGTGGTGGGACTTCACCCGGTAACCGGAAATTCTTCGATCCCGTTTTTTATAGGATCGTTTTATTCGATCAGGTTTTGTAGTCTCTTAAGTCTTTAATTATGAGGAAGCTGTGTGATTTATGTGTGACGTTTTCTATAAACGAAATAACTCCGTTTCAGCGAGGTGCTGGTAAAAGTACACCTCATGCTTGCTTGGAGGAGAATACGACTTGGGACCTTGTTGCGGATATCGAAAAACTGAGGGACCATTTAAAAATTTCGGAATGGCTGGTAAAAGAGAGGTTTTTATTTTTGTGTGCTTTGGTTGTTACTGTTTTATGTGGTTCTCACCGATGTGGAATGTGAAGGTTTTCGGTGGTTCGTGGGGAAGCACACTCTCTCTAGCATATAGTGAATCCCATCCCGACAAGGTTGTTTTTTTTTTTTTTCTTTTTTTCTTTTTCGTAATTCTATCTAAAGAAAGGCTAGTTCCGTTTCTTGGAAACTATAATGAACGAGAAGTTATATATATAATTAGCATCGATGGTGATTATTGTTCTATAATCTTGTTTTTTTTAGGTCACCGGCATGGTACTGAGAGGGATTTTTATGCTGCGCAAGAAAGAAATTGATTGGTTTTACGAGGGTGGTGCTGCTGCCATATTCCCTGATGGTACGTAGTGTGTGTGTGTGTGTGTGTGTGTGTGTGTGTGTGTGTGTTTTTAGTGTCTCGAATTATGGTTGCATTAGCATAACTGAAACGGAAAATTACGGAGTTTTGGTGAAAATTCATCACGGTTGATGCTTAATGCGAAAAATGATTATTAAAAACTGTTCTATTTAACTTTTGAATTTGTAATAAGCCTTGTACTGCTAGCGGCTACTTGAATGTAGAGGAAATATCTTGTAGCTTGTAGATTGAAAAATTTCGGAAATTAATTTTGGATTCATTATTCAAACTCGGGACGTTTGAGATATGTACTCGGTATGCTTTTCTTTTTTCTTTTTTTTTTTTTTGTAGCTTGGGAGCCATTTAGAGATCATATTCCGGAAAGTGAAAGGGGATGTTTAATCGATGCTTATCACAAGAGGTTAAACTCGAACGACAAGGAAACACAAGTAAGAGTGAACTATTCGTTTTTTTTCCTTACAACCATGTATTTAACTTGTGAACCCTACTTAGAAAACTACATTATTTGTTTGGGGGGTTTACGGAAGTCCCATTTTGTGGCTTTCTTGATTTAATAAGTGGTTTTTGAATGCCTCGTGCGTATCAAACGTAAGTTTATTGAGACCGGTAAATGTCTTTGTTGATAATCCATAAAATCAGAGTGATTTCAGAGTGTTTATAATCACCTCTACCTTCGAAGGCTTACGAGAACTAATTTCTGCATGTAGAACTGCCACCACCGCCATCCCACCACCACCGCCTGCCCTCTTTTAAAAAATCTCCAAGATAAAAACCACCATATATCGAAATGTGCAGATTAGACCAATAAAAATAAATGTAGATAAATTTGTCAGATCTGATGACATCATCTTATTCGATATGCTGATGCTCGTTGGAGTGATGGTGGAGGAAAAGAAGGGTTGGCGGTGGTGCTGGGAATGGTAGTGGTGGTGGTTTTCAAGATTGGTTGGATCGTCTTTCTCTTTTTTTTAATAAGTCTTATTATTAAACGGCCGTGAATCATGATATTTTCCTATTCTATTTATTGTTACGTTCGAAGTCTGTATTAATTGTTTATCTGAATGTTTTTAGTAATTTTAGTATGCAGCAGCTAGGGCATGGACCAAGTGGGAAATGATGACAGCTCATCTTCTGCCGAATGAGGTTACCGCAAAACGAGGAGACGATGATGAGTTTTGCTTGGTAATTTGCAAAGTCTCGTTTTTTTTTATTTTCATTCAATTTTATGCTCTGGAGATGTTTAGTTCATGAGAACCAATCTTGATAAGATGGCGATTCATGACGAGAAGTTATTTTGTTTTTGGTCCAGGCTTTTGCGAGGATCGAGAACCACTACTTTGTCAACAAAGGGTTTTTGCCTAAAGAAACATACCTGTTGGATAATATCGAGAAAATACGACACATCAACACTGTAATTGTGCAGGTTTGTAGATTTATCTTATTGTTTCTATTTACGAGCATGAAAGAACCTCTCTACATTGTTCTTGAAATCTGTTGTCGTATTCGAAAATCTAAAAGCTGTGAAGTTGCACAAAAAGAAAACGAAAAAAACGGAGTATTGAAATTTGTGACGAAGTGATTCTGTAATGATTCTCGTGCAGGGAAGATATGACGTGTGTTGCCCTATGATGTCAGCATGGGATCTTCACAAGTCTTGGCCAGAAGCTGATTTCAGAGTAAGAAATAAATCTCGTCGCCTTTCTGCTAATAATAATAATAAAACTAAATTTGTTTTTTTACTTCTAATCTGACGTAAAATGTGTTTGTATTTTGATAGGTGGTTAAAGATGCCGGCCATTCTGCTAACGAACCAGGAATATCTTCTGAACTTGTTTCTGCTACTGAGAAGTTGAAATTTATCATCCAGGAAAATCGATCCTAGTGCATAAGAAAAATCTTCGTAATTTATTGCTGATCAGATCTAGATTTGAATATCAGTACGGTTTCTTTTACATTACTGGTTTTCTATGGCTGCCTTGTTTCGATTCTTAAGGTCATCTCAAAAAAAAAAAACAGAGAGATTATGAACACATTGCATAAATCAGTTACAAAATGAGCTCTCCTTAAAGTCTTGCGTTATTACACTCGCACAAAAAGAATACAGCATATTGATAATTGTTACAGACACTTCTCGACCGAAAAAACTCTGAACCACAGATGTTACGTAAATACATAATCGGACAACAATGGCAAGAAATCATATGCAAAAAAAATTCAATAAACGATTGAACAAACCAAACATTAAAATTGCCTATTTGAGTTTCTTAATACAACTCTTTGGTGTGTTGTGGATGTTTGGTTCCGTAACATTGTCGTCTTTTTTGGGTGAAGTTTCGTTTATGACGTCAAGTTTTTTACCAGGGATCAAGAAAGTCACCATTTTCTTCTTTTCTGAAACAAGCCTGTAAAAAATTGAGCCATCTTATTTATTATTCCTGAGAAGATAAAAAAAAAAAAATCTGTATAAATTTCTCGGAAACAGAAATGCTGACTCACCCTTGAAGCTTCTTGACAGAATTTTTCAGTGTCGGAGAATTCATTTTCCTAAATTTCTCCAACCTTTGAAGTGCATCACTTGTCGGTTTTTGTTTATCACTTTCTGCTGTCGGAGAAGCTGCTGATCTCTCCTGCTTTTTTGGAGTCTTTATTACACTTAGTATCGTCGTATTCCCTTTCTGAAAAGTTTCGAAATTTTTTTAAGAAATCCATTGTATGTCATTTCTTTATACATTATAAAAAGTAAAAAAGAGTACTCACTTGAATATCATGATTCCCGTGTTTCCTCTGCTGCAATTTCCCACACGGTGTGCTCAAATTTGCAGTTTCACTTTGAGGAGCCGCCAGAGGATCGTTTCGTTTTTCCAAGTTAGCTTCCTTGAGAATTCCTCTCTCCTGCAAATTGAAATGTCATTAGATTTGTCATATTTGTCTCAACAAGAACATGTTGTTTGTTAAAGAGATTGCTTACATCAGTTCTTAGCCTAAAAGGTTTGGGGTTTGTTGTCTTGAGTTTCGTCACTGCACCAGAGGAAATCGGACCCTCTTTCAAATTCTTATCATATGTTTGAGTGACCTGCGCAATCGAGAGTATATAGTATACTGTAATTAATTATAAAAAAAAACTCGGAAAGTGATGGGAAACGACGACAAGGTCCATTCAAAAGAAAAGACGAACAAAATCAAGAAATGAGAAACCTTTTTTTTAACTTGACCGGATTTGTCGTGCAGGCCAAAGATCTTTCTCCCATTTTGCATCAGGTTCTTCTCATGCATTCTGCAAAACAACATATTACTGATATAAGAAACCACGTAACCATAATTCAAGAAAAAATCAAATTTTGAAAATATCTCTCAACCTGTTGTTATCCGAGGCTGCAACGTTTTCTTTGTCGTCACCATCCACAAATTCATGCCCGTTTCTTCCCGCATCAGAAGAACTATTATTCTCATCTTTGTCTGTAGCTTGAGATCTTAAATTGTTACATTCTACAATTTTCGAGCAGTTTTCTTCCCTTCTCGAGTCATCTAGTACGGTCAAATCTGCATCCTGTGTAGTAGATTCTTGAAGTACAATCCCTTCTGCAACTTTCTTAGCCAACTGTTCTTTAACATCACTACTTTCGGTGTCATTTGTGTGATCATTTGCCAGCAATTTCTTCGAGGCATTTTGTTGCGATAACTTCACTTTGATCTTACTTTCAATAGATTTTCCAAATTTAGCTTCGTCGGGCCTTTTTTGCACCGTACGACTGCTTAACTGTCTTCTCGAAGAACTATTACTCATATTCTTAGATGATTTGCTAGAATTGCCCAAGGCAAGCTTCTTCTGACTTGAAATCTCGAGCTTTTTCATCCCTTCGCATAATTTTGACACGGGCGTGCGCAGTTCAACAGAAGAAGTCTTCGCCACCTTGACAGTCTTCTTCGGAGAGTGAAAAGCCAGAGCCTTTACCACCATTCGAGTTTTAGGCACTTCAATATTATTAGTAGGTTTTGGATTCTGAACACTTCGAAACGAATTCTGATTCGGTACGCAGTTTTTGTTCCTCGGGGTTGTAAGATACTTGGCAGCAACCGGCCTTGTCTTGGTCAATGGCGTCGTGGACCCATTCTTTAGAAGTGGTCTAACAACGCTTTTTTTCTCATCGACGAACTTCTTCGAAATTGACGAAATAATAGCCATACGTGATAATCTTGGCTTCGAGGATTTCGGAGGAGCTGAAAGTGGGCATTTTATCGGTGTTCTGCAGAAACGTAATTCAATCGCAATAAATTCGACGACTGTTACAACTTACACGAAAATTTTAGTTGATTACAGGCAGAAATATCGGATTTAGAAATGTACCTCGAAGTATTTCTATCAAGTGCTTTTCGAAGCCGTACATTGGGACTCCTAGCTGCCATTACCTACATGAACAAATTTTTAGCAGCATACATAAAATAAATGAAATAAAATCAGTGATTTCGATGATAAGGACTAACCCGAAGAACGAATTTTTTGTAGATTTCTTCGGAATCCATTTCTTCCTCGTGCTTATGGTCACACCCTGAAAAACAGTGAACCCTTTAGTATCATTTATAGAGTATAGGGCAAAGGGGGCCATGGCCCCCTCACCGGTGCTTTAAACCCCCAGTATTTTACATATAAATTTGTTAATTTTCCATTATTTAAAAACCCTTTAGTTCATCAACCCTAGTTCAAAACCCTAGTAAAACAGATCAAATTGAATAATTCGAAACCCTAGTTCAAAACCCTGTAAAATCCAGCTGCAGAAACAAGGATGAAGAAGAAGAGAAAAATCAATTAAAAAAATAAAAATTGGGAATTTAACACACTAACCGACACGGAGGCAAAACCAGTAACGATCGTCGGGGCAGTAATGATCAGGGATCGAGAAATCAACGAACTTTGGGGCCTCGATCTTCTCGTAAAATTCTTCGTCTCTTCCGTTAGCTTCCGAATTGGCCGAATCGGCCGAATCTCGATTCTCCAATGATAGAAGTTTACTCCAATCTTGTTGATAATCCGCCATTTTTGCTTCCTCTGCAACTTCTCGAACGAAAAATCCAGGGGAAAAGTATTTATTAATGTTATTTAATTTTAGATGCTTTCTTCTTTAAGAAAATTGAAGAAAAGAGAAGAGAGATGGAGCGCTGTGTTGTGAGAGTTTGTTTTTTGAAGTTTTAAACTTCAGACATGTCTGGAAGTAGCCGTTGAAATCTGTCCTACGTGGACCGGGGCATATGTAATTTGATGAAAATTGATGGGCAATTTAGGCATTTACAAATAATGTTTATTCGCAAGACTGGGCCTTCCTTCTGTCGGCGGCCCAAAATTTGGAGTTGGGCCCAACCACTCCATGTCATAAAAAATGATTTTTTTTTAAATATATAGGAAAAATTACAGTTTTCTCCCCTCAAGTTTTCACCGATTTCATATTTGGTCCCCTATGTTCACAAAAAACACATTTGATCATTCGTGTTTTAATAATTTAACGCTTTTGATCATCTCCGTCAATTTACTGTTAGTCTTTCAGTTAAGTCATTGATGGACACACGTTTGATTCCATTAGTTTTAGCGGAAAATTGATGGAAATAACTAGGGCTGGAAAAAAGATACCGATTACCATATACCATGGTATACCAACCAAGGATTACCGAAAAATTACCGAAAGAACGGTTACCATTATCTACGGTACGGTATTAGTACCGTACCATTACAATATGGTACGGTATTGGTATTGTATTTCTAATACCACGGTAATACCGTACCGTACCGCAATTTACATTTTAATCCGATTAATATATTTTTTTCGATATTATTTTTTGTAATTCTATTTTGTTTACTTAGAAGCTTATAAATGGCAACAATTATTTTTCCCTTAAGTTAGTGGTAGTGTATTTGTTTTTTTTTTCCCTGCCAAGTTGAATTTTGTAATTGAACATATATGTTCTACTAAATTGTCTTTTATGTTCTCTATAAGTTAGTGGTAGTGTATTTGTTTTTTTTTTCCCTACCAAGTTGAATTTTGTAATTGAACATATATGTTCTACTAAATTGTCTTTTATGTTCTCTATAGCCAACTAATTTTATTAAATATGATGTATGAATATTTTATTTTTTTACCTACATGTATGTATATCATTGGTAAAGTATTTATTGTATGTAATAATTATTAAGTACAATCAAATTCCTAACAAATACCTAGTTGTTCCATTAAATAACATGTACATTATTATGGTATATGTTCTTGTTTCAATGAAGCAAATTATGTTAATTATTCCGATTATACACATGACCTTCTTAGAAAATAAAATACAACTCATACAAGAGTAACTAGAATTATTTTCAATAGGGATATATGTATATTTTTAACTCATTTGTTATTTAATCTTTGATGCATCACCAAGTATGGTAGAGTACCACGTACCGATTGTACCGTACCGAAAATAACGGTATACCGAACATTGGTATACCGAACTTTTTGGTACGGTAACGGTATGAAATTTTTCAATACCGCAATATACGGTAGGTACACGGTATTGAGCCAAATGTTTGGCAACCGTACCGAATCCACCCCTAGAAATAACTAAAAGTTTGAATTTTTAAAACGTGAGAGACAAAATGTATTTTTTGTGAACATGAGGGACCAAATGTGAAAATCGGTGCTGACGCGAGGGACGAAAACTGTATTTTTTCTTATAAATATATCTACCTCATATATAACCGACCGAATCCGGTCTATAATTTTCAGTGATGAGTTGCAGTTTTGTAATTGTTGCAGAGTGTCAGTTCTATAATTACTCGGTGAGTGACTGTAATTACCTTATGGGCATCTTTGGTTGGCATTATTAGCCATGATGGGACAAATAGTACTACTTAGTATGATGTTTGGTTTGGGAGTTTAATCATATGTTGATAAATGGACCCACCATTTTTATCATCCAATCGAATTATTAATTGTCAAGCCAAATTTGGCTTGACAACTTATCACCGTCTAATCCCATCAGCTGCTTCCATGTACAATGTCGATATTGCTCTTAAAGCATGCAACAATTACACAAATATTGCATATAAATAAGTTTTTTCTTCTGAAATCCCCATTTACTGTAGAGCCCTAATCTTACGAGGTAAGAACCCTTCCTTCATCCAATTTTTTTTTCCATGAAATCGACAAGTTCTTCACATAATATTTCCGCTTATATTTCAAGACAATTGTAAGTTAGGACCGTCTGCACGACTCTGGAAGTTTTGAATTTCATAAAAAAAACATATGTTTGAATGCAGTGGAGGACAAATTTCAGATTCAGACTTCAATTGGTAATTTTCAGAATCTCCTTTTCATCTTGTGTTATTATTAAGTCTTGTATGCTGTAATCCCTTCTATTTTTCCAACAAAATTAGGGTTTTTGAGTGGGAGCAGAGACTACAACTATTTGGTTACATTGTTGACGATTTCTTGGCAAAATAACCCATTTTGTCGCACAAGTTCATTGAATTTAATTCAGATATGTACTTGGGTGGAAAGTATAAAATATGGGACATTTGTATTTTTTTAGAGATTTGCAATTTGAATCTATTATTCCTGCGTAATGTTATGTTTGGGTTTGATTTTTCATTTCTCATTGTATTTTTTACATAAAAATGTGCCAGCAAAGGGTTGGAGGTGTTCGTTTTATGTTGAAGCCACAATTACAAGTTTCAGGATGCTCGCGATTTAAATCGAATCAACCCTATTTATTGTTGATCGAACTCCTCTTTGGATTACTACCGCCAATACTCATTCTCCAAAATAACCTAACAGCGGAACTCAGGAAGAATTCAATTTTATACAGACCCAAATTAGGGCTAGTGTACAAAATCGAAAGATATTGGGGGGCTTGCAATCGTGGTTATAAAGAAGATGAACTTGGACAATGATATAATATTATTTAAGGGCATTTCAGACATTGAACAACTAATCTCAAGTAATACGGTAAAATCAAGGGAATAGAACACCAAATTGTTCATCAAGATATTATTAGTTTCATCCTAATACAATCAACCAAATGTTAGACCCATTGTTGTGAATCATCATTTTAGTCCCAGTACTACATATCCCATCAATAGTTATCTATCCAATCCATCCAACCAAAAGGGTCCTATGAGTTATACTTTTGTAATTACTAATGTATGACGGTTCCGTAATTAATTGGTAGTGACAATTCTATAATTACGATGTATAGTGGCAGTTCTGTAATTTCCTATGTTGAGTGGAAGAAATCGATGTTTTTGCAGATTTCCCTAATACACCCCTTTCAAAATCCAGAAAAGACAATTAGGTCCTCATTTGATCCAGTGTGCCCTAATCTTTCGTCAGAATCCCCCAATTGAGTTTCTCACTCTCCGACCGATCACCCCCGGTGAAAATCTCCGGTTAGTTCATCTTAGCTTCCCAATTCGTTGGGTAAAGTAGTTTGGCTATTTACTTATCTACTGTTTCGTTTTTGTTTGTTCACAGAATTATTTTTTTAAATCCTGATCAAAGTTTCTCCTTTCTCGATCATCTTCATAAATTTCTAAGAAAGGCTCCTGTTAATTCGCATATATTTAGAGTACGAGCTGTATTGAGGATTGTGCTTAATGTACAATTTTTTCTGGGATTTTTCAATGCAATTTGAAATACTGATTTTCGCCGTTTCTTATTCGTCGTCGTTTTTATGTTACTTTGTTTGATTGTTTTCTTTCTTGATTTCACTTTCCTGAAACAACTCTTTGTGAAATGGGATGTACAGTATGTTATAATTCCTAGTTGTAATTGAATAACCAACTTGTGTTCGTAATATGAATCCAGTGATTCTCAGTTTATTTGGTTACTTGCGAGAATATCTGCATAAAGGCGACAATTTTATCTTTCTGCCACAATATATACGAATATATCGTTTTTTTGTTTTTTTTTAATCGTATCGTGATGCATAAATTCTAGTAGTAACTTCGTTTGTTATATATTATAGAACAGTTGCTGGAAGTCACTCGTTTTTTGTGGGGATCGTTCCTGTGTTATAGTTGCGGATTGAGTAAAGCTGATTGGTGTTGATGGTTGTGTTAAATAAGTGGGACCCCGTAACTCTTCACTCCGTTGCATGGAGGGTCACGACTTTATAATCGGCCAAGAGTTTCCAGATGTTAAAGCCTTCCGTAATGCAGTCAAAGAAACCGCAATCGCCCAACACTTTGAGCTTCGTATTCTCAAGAGTGATCTCATCAGGTACATAGCTAAATGCGCCGCCGAAGGCTGCCCATGGCGCATACGTGCAGTGAAGCTCCCGAATGCCCCGACTTTCACAATCAGAAGCCTCGACGGTACACACACTTGCGGTAAAAACGCACACACTGGGCACCACCAAGCTTCTGTGGACTGGATCGTGAACTTCATAGAGGAACGACTTCGTGAGAACGTGAATTATAAACCGAAAGATATTTTACGAGATGTGTACGAACAGTATGGGATAACTATACCGTATAAGCAGGCTTGGCGGGCTAAGGAGCGTGGACTTCAATCCATATACGGATCTTCCGAAGAAGGGTATTTTCTTCTTCCATTGTACTGTGAGCAGATAAAGAAGAACAACCCGAAAAGTATTGCTGAGGTTTTCACCTCTGGTTCCGATAATCGGTTTCAGCGTGTGTTCATTTCGTTTTACGCTTCTATAAAAGGGTTTCTTAATGGTTGCCTACCGATTATTGGACTTGGTGGAATTCAGCTCAAGAGTAAATACCTCGGAACTTTACTTTCGGCCACTTCTTTTGATGGTGATGGTGGGTTGTTTCCGCTTGCCTTTGGTGTTGTTGATGTGGAAAGTGACGAGAGTTGGATGTGGTTCTTGTCGGAATTACGTAAAGCCCTCGAGATGAATACGGAGATAGTGCCGCAAATTACATTTTTGTCCAAATGGCAGAATGGCGTTGGAGATGCTGCGAAGAGAAAATTCCCGACTTCTTGTCATGCAGTTTGCATGAAGCATTTAACAGAAAGCATTGTTAGAGAATTTAAAAATCCACGGCTCGTACAACTCCTTTGGAAAGCCACGTACGCCACTTCGAATATAGGGTTTAAAGAAAAAATGGTCGAAATTGAAGAAATTTCTTCCGAAGCAAGAAATTGGCTGCAACAAAATTACCCACCTTCTCGTTGGGCGATGATGTATTTCGATGGGGCCCGCTTCGGTCATCTCTCGTCAAACACCGACGAGTTCAACCAGTGGGTTCTAGAAGCTCGAGAGCTGCCTATAACTCAAGTGATCGAGCAAATCCAGACTAAATTAATGGTGGAGTTCGAGGAGAGGCGTGCTAAATCCAAGACATGGTTTTCGGTTCTCACTCCATCTGCTGAAAAACACGTGATCGAGGCAGTAAATCTTGCTTCGACCTATCAGGTGCTTCGATCGGATGAGGTAGAGTTCGAGGTTCTTTCTGCAGAGCGGTCGGATATAGTCAACATAGGAAGTAATTCTTGTTCTTGCTGTGGTTGGGAGATGTGTGGATTACCATGCTCGCATGGTGTTGCAGCACTTTTATTCTCGAGAAAAGATGTTTATGCCTTTACGGGTAATAAGTATTTTACTACGGCTAGTTATTGTGCCGCGTATGAAGAAGAAATACATTGTGTACCGGGTAAAACTGAGCTGATTAAGGAAGGGGAGACAACCTTAGACGGTGAAATAAGATCAGTGAGGCCTCCGAAGGTGAAACGGCCACCTGGAAGGCCTGAGAAGAAACGAATGTGCATAGAGGATTTTAATCGGGAGAAGCATACTGTGCACTGTAGCAGGTGTAATCAGACGGGGCATTATAAGTCGACTTGCAAATCGGATGGGTGTAAGAGTGTATTAGCTCAAATTTAGATGCAAGAGTTTTGTAAGTATATATATATATATATTCCCAAAGAAATAGGTGCAAGGTGATTCCTCCTCTCTTTTTTTTTGAACATTTTCTCTGCTTCTGTGTTTAGTGCTAGTTTTCGTGAATGTCGTAAATATTCATGTCCTTTGTTCGATGATTATTAAAATAATCGAAAGTAACCCTATTACAAAAATTTACATACTTTTTTTAAAACCCAACACATTTAAATTTCGATGCATATTCTAATTTTCCACAAAGAAAAGAGAAAAAAATGCATTGGAAGATCTTGAAAACTCGAATAAAACAGTGACAAAATCAAGAATCTGGATATAAACAAAACATTACAAGACTGTTGAAACACAGTCCGATTATCAATTGAAGGCTTGAATACTAGAAAACTCTCATCAATAGTATGCTGCTATGAAATGCAGTGGCAGGTGAGTGTTTTACTTGTACAACTGCTTGAATCTTCTACAAGCTTCCAGAACGTTCTCCCTGTGTCCGAAAGCACTGACCCTGATAAACCCTTCACCGGCAGGTCCGAAACCACTCCCAGGAGTGGTCACAACGTGAGTCTTTTCAAGAATCTCGCCAAACACTTCCCAAGAACTTTGCCCAGGAAAGTGAACCCATACGTACGGTGCGTTTTTGCCTCCGTATACCTTAAAACCAAGCGAGTTGAATGTGTCCACAATAATGCTCGTGTTTTCTTTATAAAAACCTACTACCTCATGCATGGCCTGCACATAGTACACTCATATGGTAAGTGGTGATTGATTACAAATAATAATTAAAAAACTCAATTTGTTGTTAAATAACTCTTATAAAACCTAAAGTGTATACAAATATATAAGCGTAAACTACAACTAGATCCCCATAGTTACATCCACCTTTACGGTTTGAGTTTATACCCATTATCCTTTACATTGGGGTTTTTAGACAGAATTTGTTGAAATAAGCAAAAAAGATGACATGAACTTCAAATTTTACCCTTCATCTCAAGTTTTGATTATTTTTTTTCCCTTTTACAGAGACAAAGAATTGGTGTCTTCTGTAGTATCTAAAAGGTAAAAGACACTCGTTTTGCATTATTTTGGTATCATTTTTTGTATTTTCATGAAGGATTTTTTTTCCTGCCTTTTATGTCTCCTGTTCTGATATCTAACGGGACAAACTCAAATGAGAGGTAATGGTAATTATGAAAAAAGAGGAATATTCTGTAATTAACGCTATTTTAGAAGGGGTTAACTGCAATTAAGCATGTGTATAAATTAAATATATAGAAAGATAGGAAAAAGGACTCACCTTAATGCCTTCGGCTGAAACACAAGCAAGACCACCAGCTTGAGCAACGTTGGATGCACCGTTGAAACAAGTACAAACAATGCGGTTGAAGTCTTTAGCCACTGGAAATCCATCGGAGTAAAGAAGCTCTTTGGGAATTGCAGTCCAGCCGAGACGAACTCCGGTGAACCCAGCGTACTTGGAAAAGGAAGATACTTCAAGTGCAACCTGCAATAGCCAGTAATTACATCAAATCAATATTTGCTTCTATAAACGACATATATTTTTGTTTTTTTTAATATATCAATCCAAGTAAAGATTAGGGAAATTGATTTCCAAACAAACCTCTTTGGCACCGGGAATCTCGAAAATGGATTTCGGACTATCATCCGATACATACATAGCATAAGCAGAGTCGTAGACTATGATTGAGCCATTTTCTTTAGCAAACTGTACAAGTTTGGTTAGTTGCTCTCTTGATGCAGAATAACCAGTTGGATTATTCGGAGAACAGAAAAATATGATATCTGTCCGACGAACTGTGGATAGATCGGGAAAGAAACCATTTTCTGGTGTACATCTCATGTATTCGATATTCTCAAACTTCTCTACATCTTTCTGAAACTGCCCTGTTTGACCCAGGATAACGCTTGAATCCACATAAGCCTACAGTTAAGAAAACAGATATTTTCATACAATTCAATATGTGTAAGATAAAAAAGGTAAAGGTATCCATTGCGACTAAAAGCATAATATATTTACCGGGTAAGATGGATCTTGAACAGCCATCGTCACATTAGATCCAAAAAGAACCTGCCGAGCAAAATCTATGAATTAGAATCATACAACCACCACCAAACGGTTATTACTTTTTATTCGATAGCAAAATAAAATCCCGTACGTTTACTGAAATACCAACAAAACAAGAAATAGAAAGCAAACCTGGAGGCGAGATATATCACTTTTTGCACCATCAGACACAAATATATCATCTTCCTGTATGCCAAGGTCGCCATAATAGGTTGAAGCAATGGCAGCCCTCAATTGCTGTAAACAATAGTAAAGGAGAGTACCCTTGTTACAACAGAAATGGGAACATAGAAGAATAGTATTATAATGTTCAAGCTGGCCTCTAAGTGGGGTGAAACAAAAGAATAAGGAGAGAAGACAATACAATGGAGGAAAAAAGAGGGAGAGATAAAATACATTGAATACCAAAATGGAAAAGAATGACGATTAGTACTGACTTTTTCACCTTGTTCAGCTCCATAACCACTGTAACCGTCAAATGTTGACAGCGCAAATGATCTCTGAAAATTAATTGAAAATAAAAGTCGTAATAATTAGGGACAAGTAAGAATCAGCAATCATAACGGAAACATATTATCTACACATGAGAAATTATTTCCCAGTCGATCCACCCTTTTATGCAAAAACTGGTTGAAACTCAAAAACAGTATTACCTTTGACATGGCAGAAGTAATAACATCTGGAATTGGCTCAGTTGTGTCACCAATTCCGAGGCTGATCACTTTGGCATCGGGATATTTCAACATATGTGCAGCTCTCCTTCTCGCAATCTAATGGGGAAAAAAGAAAGAAAGCATTGACTGATCAAAATTTCTGCATCCAAAAGCTAAATAAAGTAACATACATCTACAGATTATCGGTCTAGAAGAAATGGGAGGACATTTCTAAAAACCATATCACCAGATAAATACACCAAGCAAAGCAACAAAATGATCACATTTTCTTCCATATTACTGAATACATCATCATGAATGTGAAACGTATGCAACAACTAAACTAAATTGGGAATAGTATCATATCATTTTGAAATTGAAAATATATATCGAGTCCCGTGAGGATGCATTTTTCCTGCCTAATCCGATAAGATTTCAGACTTCAGCAACCAAACATTTAACAATTCAATCATAAACAACACATGATAGGTATGAAATAATTTGGAATCCGAATGCGATCCCTCCTAACGTTACAATAGAAATGAAAAAGGCAGGAAAAAACATCATAAAAATACGTCGCCAAACGACGAAAAGATTCATGGAAGTGCACCAGAGCTAGCAAATGAAAAATCAAAAACCGAAACATAAGAGTGCTAAAACATACCTCCGGAAAGAGGTATCCAGCTTGAAGTTTAGCCATGTTTTCATTTCGCGACACCTTTGTCGTGTAAGCTGCATCAAAAGTATCATCAATTAGTCGGCGGCATTGCTCATACCGATTTTTTCAGCTATAGGAAAAATCAAATTCATGCATAAGAAGGCCAACCAATCCTTGTAAAAATTAAAGTTAGGGCAAAACATAACGCAGAACAATGTACTACTGAGAAAACAGATTAATCAATCGCACAACAGTGAAGCAAATTACTCACCAGTTTTCTCAGCAGCTGAGGCGACACATTTCACAACCCCGCTGATTTTCCCCGCTACCGCGAAATTGGATGACCTGCCAAAAAAAATTCCAAATTAAATTTGTGAGAAAGCAAGTATACAGACGAAAACAGATGAAGACGAAGAACAATTGGTACTTGGTGGCGCTCTTGAGATTGGTGTGGCCGCCGATGAAAGCGGAGGCGGAGGAGGAGATGGAGGTGGAGAGAATCTGATGAATTGCAGACATTTTCGAAAATGCGGCTGAGGAAGAAGCGACTGTGCGTGCGGGATAGTGTGCTTTATTTCCAGTGAAACTTTAATTAATATGGAAACCCTAGACCAGTTGCTAAACAATTGAAGTCATAATTTTGGATATAAATAAATCATTAAAATTTAATAATCGTATATAAATTGTATTGAGTATGATAATTAATAATTAATTTAGTGTTCGAGGTACTTTTAGTTGTTAGTTGTTACTAACTCACATTATTTATTTATTGGGTAGTAAATTACACATACACCTTTGAGGTATGTTAAAATATCTTTAAGGCTCTTGTGGTATTGGTAATTACAGTCACATCCCTAAACAATTACCGAAGTCAGTATTTAATGTCTTGTGGACCGATATGCACTATATTTGTTACACGCGGGGCCATTAATGGTACCATAGACGAAAATTTATAAATCTTATATAAAATAATAAGAGTTTAATAAATATTAAGAGCGTCATATCACTCCTAGCTCTATGTTGTCTCTACCACTGGCTGAAACTAATAGTCTGTTAGAACTCGAACGGAATAACTTATTCAATGCATTATTCTGTTCGAGTTTCTAACAATGTTTCAGGGTGATTGTAATTACAGATACTACATGAACCTTAAAGCGATTTTAGCATATCTCATGGGTGTGGGTGTAATTTTCCCTTATTTATTTATTAATAGAAGTTAGTAGTAGCAAACGAATGAGATCTTAAACTCGTACTAGCTTAAACCGAAGTATAACGAAGGGATGTTTTTAAATTGATTCGAACGTGATTTTAACATTTTTCTAATCAATTTTCGGCAAAATTAAAACACATAAATCGTAGTCAATTAAGACAGATTTCTAATTCAATTTGAATCAGCTAGATCGAATGTATTAATAATGAAAATTATGCATTAATGTTGAATTGTATTTTGAATTTTAGATAAGTCAAAACATCAAAAGTATGAGCATTGCTCATCGATTCATGATTCATGCATATGTTTATTACGGAATATCCAATCTTATTGATTCAAGTTTGATTTGAAAGTTAACTCGAAGAACTATAAATTATGTTTTTCGAGTTTTGCCAAATTCACCATAAAAAATGGTCAAAAATATGTTTGAAGTTCTAACGGTAAAATTAATTTATCACATTAATGAAACAATGATGAATTAATTTAATTTGTTTTTCAATGTCTTTCAATTGTTTGTTTCAATAATTTTAAAAAACAATTTTATCAATTGTAAGCTTCCAATACAAAAATACACCCTTTTTTAGAAGTAACTTTAAATAATTAAAGAAATTCCACAATTTAAAATTAAAATAAAAAATGAACAATTAAATAAATCCCAGCCCCCTTTTGCAGTTCTTGGCTTCTTTCTATCGGGCCCCTGAGTTTTAAGAAACGAAATTCGAGCAGTTTTAAAGATCCCTAAACCAGTTCTCATCTCTCTTTGGATTTCAGACGTTCAGGTAAATTATGCTCGCATATTTTCTATTTTGATCCTTTTGTTTTGATCTAATTGCTCCGATTTATGTTACTGGTTAAGAACCCTAATTTTAGTTCTTCCGAAATCCAATTTCTGTTATTGCATAAGAACCCTAGTTTTTTTTTTAATTTTCTGTTGTGATTTGCTGGTCGGCGAATTAATTAACGAATAAATAAAAATCAGGGGAAAAGGCCGAGGCTTCCTATTCAAATTGTCAACTTTGAGAAACAAAAAAAAAAAAAAAGAAGAATCATATTATTTTTACTTGTGAATTTTGATTTTCTGAACCTCTCATATCTAGGGTTCCATAGGGATCTGGAGACGGAAAACAGAATAGCCGCCATTTTGTTGAAGGAGGCGGCAGAATTGCGCCGCCAAGCTGAGAAGGAAGGTGCTCTTGCTGATCTTCGTCAGCCCGCTGTTAGGAATAGGCCTAATTCTCGTTTCCTAACGGCAACTGTTCGTGGTGTACAACAAGGTGAGTTTGGTAATTGATAGCTATAGATGTTTTTTCACAATTAAAATTGTTGCTTTAACCTAGATATGTGTGGATTGCTCGTATAAATTGAATATTCCGTCTGACTAGTTTTTCGTTGGTTTCAGAAATTATATGAGGGTTTTTTTTTTTTTGGCTATCTTGCTAGTGTATGAAAATCTTGGTTGGGTTAGATTTTCGTTGATTTTAATGCAGGGTTTGGATGTAAATAATCTATCTTGCTAGGGTTTTAGAATAATCTTTTGGATCTGGAAAATAAAAGGGATATCTAGTATTAGATGTAAATTTGTGGATTTTTTTGTTTTAATTTTTGTTAGTGACTTGAGGTAACGTGTAGAAATCTTGAACCGGATTTATGAGTTGAATGATCTTATGTATCGTGAATTCAGTATTTAGGATTTGTTTTCTGGGTAAGATCTAATTTTGCATCCCAGTCAATGCAGATAAGGGCTTAAGCTGATTCATCGTTAACCGATTGTATTTAACACCTGCCCGATGAATGAAAAAACCGAAAATTACAGTTTGTGGTGATAATTAGGCTTCTGTTCTATTTGATTTGCTTGTTGTTTCGTAAAATTCAATCTAAGTTTTTTGCTGACATTTTTAGCGCAAACTCTTTATACGAGTGCTGATTGGGCAAGATTTATGGTGACACAGCAATGGAAACCGGAAATCTTGTTCATTATGCATGCCTTTTTAGTAAAAAGTCAACGAGTTACGTTTGTTATATGAGCCAAGTTTATTATAGCTTCAGGAATTGTAGTTTCCGTCTTTCATTTCGACTATTTAATTTTTTTTTAACTTTTTGGGGTTATGGTACATTCGTTCAATAATTCCTCTATGTTGTTTTGTATTTGCAGCAAACCGTGTAGTCGAAGTAAATGAAATGTGGCGAATAAGGGAGAAACAGCTGGAGCTAGACAATAGGCTTAACGGGACAAGAAGAAAAGAGAGCAGCAGTAGAATGGAAGCTTGTGAATCTCGTAGAAGTAAAAGTACCGACAGCAATGAAGTGGAAACAAGTGGACGAGATCATCACTCTTCAAAGAAAAGATCTATTCACGAACTCGATCCGACGGATGACGAAGGTTTAAGGGATGATGAGGTGGAAGAATTCTTACACTCAAGGTCGGTTCTCTCACTCATTCATGTGGTCTATTTACATTTTTATTTTACAATTTTTAATTGTTTTAATAATGGCAGAACAAAGCGAGGCAGGGGAGCCATTGGATCGAGAATGGATGAAACTGGACCGTACCTTCCTTGTAGTCCAGTTTCGAAAAGAAATCCGCGGGAAAACGATGGTGAGGATTCGAAGAGATCTAGAGTTATTCTTGGACCAGAGAAGCCTAACTCATTGAAGTATAGTGAATCCTCGTCTGATGATGAATCGATTAAAGATAGGAAACGGAAGGCAAAGATTGGATCGAGCAAACGGCACTCAAGGAAACACAAATCCAAAGAGAAGTCGAAGGAAAAGAGGAAGAAGAAGAAAACTAAATATCACAAATGACTGTATACAGCATTGGTCTTCTTTTCTGCTAAATTATTGAGTCTGTTAATTATAATTATTGGAATGAAATTGTGATTTTCAAAAATAATTATATTATAATTATTGAATATTGAAATGTAGACAGTATATAAAGAAGTGAAAAATATAACCAAGGAGATCAATATCGGTAAATCAATTAAACAAAAACTGGTGATTATATATAATAATTATAAGAAAATAAAATGCACGAAAAGAAGAATTGTTTTTAGGTTCAACCCTTTTTTCTCATTACTGAAATGAAACTTCAAATTGTTACATCAAAAATTAGGGTTACAGCCAATTCACTACGAAGAAGACGATCTATTTACTATAATACCCCCAAACAGTAAACCCTAAAATTGGAATTAAGCCCTCTCGCCCCTAATTCTTCTAGCCAGCTGGATGTCCTTGGGCATAATTGTAACCCTCTTGGCATGAATTGCGCAGAGATTGGTATCCTCGAACAGTCCGACAAGATACGCCTCCGCCGCCTCCTGGAGCGCCGCCACGGCGGAGCTCTGGAACCTCAGATCGGTCTTGAAGTCCTGAGCGATTTCGCGAACAAGCCTCTGGAACGGCAGCTTGCGGATCAGCAGCTCGGTGGACTTCTGGTACTTGCGGATCTCACGGAGGGCGACTGTTCCGGGGCGGAAGCGGTGGGGCTTCTTCACACCGCCGGTGGCCGGAGCGGACTTCCTGGCGGCCTTGGTGGCCAGCTGCTTGCGCGGCGCCTTGCCGCCGGTGGACTTGCGGGCGGTTTGCTTGGTGCGTGCCATTTCTAGGGTTTTGCTCTTTGGTTTCTAGAAGATGAAAAATTGGAAATTGAATTTGTGGGTGAAGACTGAAGGGGATTCTCGGAGGAGATATATAGAGGGGTTCCCAAAATTTTTGGCGGGATGGAAAATAATCGGAGCCGTTGAATTTTGTGTTTTAATCTAAGGCTGTGGTTTGTTTCATTTTTAGTTTGTGCGGATCGCTGACGTGGCGAAGATGTGTGTTTGATTTCCGAGAGGCTAGAGGTGGTATCTGAGTCGTTCAATTATATCTAATCAACGGTTATGAATTTCGGCTCTGCACAAGGCGAGGATTGATGACCTGGACGATTCGGTGTAGAGGCTTTTGAAATATTTCAAATCCCTCTTTGATTTTACTTTAGAAATTTGGGAAAACTATATTTTTAATCCCTCAAGTTTGAACCTATTTCAGATTTGGTCCCTCATATTTAAAAAAATTAACATTTTTAGTCTTTTTCATCAATTTTCCATTAGTACTAACAGAATCAAATCAAGCATGCGCTGGCGAACTAACGATAAATTAACAGAAAAGACCAAAATGGTTAAATGTTTGAAACATGAGGGACTAAATGTGTATTTTATGAACATGTGGGGCCAAATATGAAATTAGTTCAAACTTGAGGGATGAAAACTGTAATAGTCCCAATCTTATTTTATCATAATTTTTCAAGTACTTAACTTTTAATTTAAAGTATTATATAAATTATATTTACAACCATCCAAACAAAACTTTAACAACATAAGTCCTTACAACAGCATTTGTATATAGTTCCATACAGCCACAAATAATATATATGGTCACGACTCATCGACATGGTGATCTGTTTCGTCGAATATCTCTTCCTGCAAAAGAGTAATCAAATCGAGCATAAAGTTAAAACGGGATTAATTTTCGAACATTAGTGGTTTTAAGAAATTAAGACAGTACCTGCAAAAGCTCTTCAATAACATCTTCCATGGTTATAATCCCGACAGCCTCTTCTTCTTCCGGAAGCTTTGGCAGAGGACTTCCGTCTAGTTGCAGTATGTCCGAATACATGTTCTTTGTCCATTTCTTGCTCCTAGGTGTGCCCTTGAAAGAATCGTTTCCATTGTTTGGGAAACTTTTCCATTTCTGAAGTGGCCTTCTCGTCTTTACACTCGAGTCCATTGACTTTTCACGGTCAATGTCAACTCTCACGTCATTGACCGAATCTACATGCAAATAAAGTGCAAAAACGTGGCGGGGCTTAAAAGAGTGATATATTTACAAATTTTTTAACCGATAAACGGAACTTACTATCTAGCGGTGCTTGGTAAGAAAGGTGGTGAGTCAATTTGGTCGAGTGTCGTACAACCACAGACATGTGACTGTGTCCCTTTTGGAATTCATTCAAGATGTCGTATAATGGCATAGTTTCAGGCACCCTGAGAAATCGAGACAATAAGGAAAGTATATATGTATATATATTATATATATGTTGGAATATAAGTAAAGAAACAACGTACTTTGGGATTCTGCGAATCGTGACACTCTTCACCGATACTTTATCGTCTGGATGAATGGTTAACAAATTTTTGACCTACAATTAACATATTTATTTATTTCCCTGGATATATATATACATCGAGAATCGTGAAATAGTTGATTAGTATTAAGTACGAGAACAAGTCCAATGATATTTGTAGGTTGCTCGTAGTAGACAGGCACTCGGCTATGTCCTTTCTCCAAAATTAGATTCATCAAGCTCCTACGAAGATACCAAACAGTGACATTATTTTTCAATATTAAAGTCACTATGGAAGAAGGATTAAGTTCTTGAACGAGGATTTATAGGTTACCTATCGAGCTTTGCGTTTATATCAATTGCAAACGTTTCGGATATTGGAGTCATGGCATCACTAGCAGTCTTCTCACTGAGTTCGAGTGCACCAGCAATTATAGTTGTTTCGTCATGTGTGAGTTCTCCACCTATACCTGCCTGCATACGAGTAACAAGTAAAGAACGAGCATATCGTTTAAAATAACAATAAACGATGACACCGAAAAAGAAGATATTTAATCATCGCATACCTCATTGCCGTGTAAATTAACAAGTGTTTTCAACTCGGCACGCCGGAAAAGAGCTCTGTGCCCATGGCCGAGCAGCAAGTCCAACAACTGCATATTACAGAAAAGAATATACAGCAACGGTGTTAGTTTATAGAAAAATGTTAAATAAATATAAATAGTTTTTGAAATGCAAATGTGAATACTAAATAAGACGAATTGAAAACAAGTACCTTGCTAATAGGATATGCAATCGGAAAACAGATGCAGACAAGAATTCGAACTATTGGAGCCACAGCTGCACCGATAGCAAGTCCGTGTCTCGAGCAAACAGATTGTGGAATGATCTGGCAGTAAAGAATGATCATTAAATTTATCTCAAAACAATTCTCAACCTAAAATCTCTTGAAATCGGTTCCAATCACCGTTTTCTTTTTTTTTTTTGGGGGGGGGGGAAAGGAAATGTTTGAAAATTATTCACCATATGCATGCTTTTACATTTTAAAGTATTTTTTTCATCGGTTGTGTGAATGTGTAGTTTCGTATCTAGTAAATTGTAAAATGAGATACCTCGCCAAACAGAAGTATTAAAGTCACGGAGATAAGGATTGCGCCCCAAGCTGTGACTAGACTGTCAAGGAAAATAGGAAGGGCCTGAACGAAAAATAACTCAAAATATTAAATCATCTATGCGAGGCTGAAATTGTTTTTTGAAGAACCGTAACTCAAAATATGAAATATTTATATACCTCCATAGCTGCGGCATTGCAGATAAGCAAAGTGCAAAGCAATAAATGCTGATTCTTAACAACTGGCAAAATCTTTGCTGCAATAACAATTGAACGAATATATGAAATGCCATATTACAGCATTTTAAACGTGAATTTTCAAATAAAATATTCGTTCGGCGAAAAATCAAAACTCATAATCTACAATTTTCATGTTTGAAAAATTGAAAGCAAACAGAATGAAAATTCCACATAGTAAATCTCTGGTAGAGATAACAAATTACAAGTAAATAATTAGGAATAACACGAAATATGCCCAAACTGGAATTTGCAAAGCTCATATACAGTAGAACCTCGATAAATTAAGACTTTTGACAAATTAATAACCTCGCTTAAATAACAGTTTCTTCCGGTTCCGACTCTGGTAAAAACGAACTAAATTATTAGTTCGATAATTTAATTTCGGTAAAGTAATAGAATTTCGCTAATCCCGACTGTATTAACTGTGGTTCAAAATCCCTTCATCAATTAAAATAAAAATAATTCCGGTATACAGAAAAATTAGGCTGTAGTTTGTTCCAAAAATTTGAGCGCCGAAACAATTTCAAATGATTTTTCCCTCTTTCCTCAACAAAATCAAGTAGGTGCTGAAGATGAACAGAGCATAAGAAACTTCAAACAACGAAACAAGGAAGCTAAAATTAAAAACGAAAATTACGAAATTACCGGCATGTTGTTTGTCCTTTGGGGTTCCTGATTTGGCGAGAACTTCGAGATCGACGAGGCTCATGGACATGAGGCCCAAAGTAAGCCCGGACATCAGGCCCGCAAACAGCACCAGAAACACAATCACCCCAATGTGAATGAAGAATTCCGTCTCGCAGCATCTGTACTCCACCGCCATTCAATTCAACACCACCACACCTCCGCCGCCGCCAAATCAAAATCTCCGCTCCTTTTAAGTAAGTAATTAATTCAATCTACACTGCAGCTCCTTTTATTTTTTTCCTGCAAATTCCTGGTGGACTCAGAACAGAATTCTGGAGTTTAGAAGGTGTATGTATAGTAAGGAACCGGAGGAAGTGGCAACACAGAGAGAGAAGAGAGATTTTTAAATGTGTCTCTGTGTGTGTGTGTGTGTGTGTGTGTGTGAGAGAGTAGAGAGAGAGAGAGAGAGAGAGTGATGACGTGTCACCAACCTGAGACAGGGAGGCCGTGATGGTGCTTCTCCTTTCTCATCTCTATCGTTTGTGTTGTGCTGCGTATCTTTCCAATTTGAATGGCCCCACCTTTTTTTTTTTTTTTTTAACTTATTTTATTTATTTATTGGTAAATTACGATCGCCCTCGAGGTAAGAAATTAAATTTCCGAAGAAATCGCTATTATTTCGATAATTACAACTACCTTCTCAACTATGAAATTTCTTACGCGTTCATCCATGCGATCTCAAATTTAATAGAATCTTATAGATTATGTGGAATATTTTTCAGTTTGTACCCGTTTTACCTCATTCGAGCACTACATTTCGAAACAAGATGATCGTAAGACGTGTCTCTTAGCTTGTAGATATCAGATTGTTGTGTATTAGAAACTGCATTTTTTGCCCAAAATGAGTACAAACTAGAGAACATTCCACAGAATGCAGAAAATTATGTCGATATTTGAAACCGTAAAAATAAACATGTAAGAATATTCATAGTTGATGGGATGATTGTAATTATCCAAACATGAGGGGTGACCGTAATTTATGGTTAATTTTTTCACCTAATTTTTTCATCATGTTCATGTAACGCACTATACAAGTTATTTTTGTTGTTTTGCCTATAAATAGTAAAAATTAATAAAATGTGGATTTTCCTTAAATATAGCATGATATAAAAGAAACATTATCTACAATCTATTTTAAGTTAATTCACTTTTCATTTTATTGTCTTTTGTCAAAAGTTATGAACATACATATTTTACCGAATATTCGTTTTCCTCTAATAATTATTTTTATGTCCAATTATTATAATTATCGTCTAATTTTGCCCAAATTTATGCCAAAAATGAATTAATCATTGTATAATTGAAAATGATGGTTAACTGAAACTAAACCGTAGAGTACCGGTCAGGTTTTATGCTGATTCGGTTTGTGTATTATTATTACTAAGTATTTCAATTTTAAAGATAATTCCTGGTTTAGTGTTGCAATCATTGTCTGAGCTAATTCATAATTAGCTGTTTTAATAACAAGTTTATTATTACTCCCTCTTTCAAAATAAGTGTTGTTTAAAGTTAATGTATATCAGTTCAGAAAATTAATAAATACTATTAGTTTTAGGAAAAATAATCTATACTTGATAAAATTAACCCTTTTGTAGCTTTAAATCTCTCTATATTAGTTCATTAATTGTAGGGTAAAATTGAACAAAAAGTATTGTCATATTTTCTTACAACTCTTTGAATTTTCAGGCTTAATTCCACTTTACACTATTGAAATGAAGCTTTTTGGCACTTTGGACTCTGAAAAATAATAATAACACTTTGCGTCCTTAAAACACAATAAATTATTCACAATGCACCCTTAATCGACTAATAAAAAATAATTCATTTTATTATTTTTTTGCCGGGTGCAAAATAACAAATTGGGTAAATTACAACCATCCCTGAGGTATGGTCAATTTACGGAAAAAAGCCTCTTGTTTTGATAACTACATCTACCCCTCTCAACTATAATTTTTTTCTTACACCTCCACCCTTATGGTGTCAAATTCAAAATAATCATCTAGATTTCGTGGAATGTGCTATAGTTTGTACTCGTTTTGTGTAAAAAATGCAGTTTCTGATGCACCACAATCTGATATATATACAAGCCAAAAAACACATATTATGATTATGTTGCTTTAAAATGTGGAGTTCGAATGAAATAAAACGAGTACAAAAATGATAATATTCCATATAATCTTGAAGATTCCACTAAATTTGAAACTGCAATGGTGGACGTGTAAGAAGATTTATAGTTGAGGGGTGGTTGTACTTATCCAAATACTATTATGTAACCCTCAACCCCTCTCTCGAAGTCAAATGAGGTCTTTCACTAGGTGCACCTGGGTGACATATATCCGAGATTCTGAAAAAGATGAAGAAACCCCATGAAGGCCCCTACCAAAGTCGCGACAACTAACAAGGCACCCGACCTTTTGACCGGATCGTACGAAACATAGAAAAAAACAGATATGATCAAAAGGGCAATGGGGACCTCTTGTTGCAATTTGAGGGCATGTGTTGTAACCGCCCGAGAAAAAACGCTCCAGCAACGACGAGCGACCAAAACCATGATTTGCTTATATCTTCCAAGTACGATAGAGGTGAGAGGAATGCTTTGATGATCAGGAAGTTCCAAGTACGATGGAGATGAGAAAGGGGGAAATAAATACTTCTCTATCGTTACTATACTAGTTGCTAAATGATATTCTGATTTCATTTATTTCATGTATGTTCACGAAGGATGTTGTGAGGGTGAGCCTTGCCATGGTGAGCCCTAGTAGTGTCGGACAATACATTTATTAAAATACTTCCATACAATACATTTATTAAAATACTTCCTTTGAAAATCAAATGATATTATGTACACAAACAAAAAAAGTAGTAAAGATATCAGCTTATTTCATTAGTTTATTTAATGTTCAATAGTATACCCATATGGAAGATACTTGCACCTCTATTTATACAACTTCATATTCTAAATGACGGTAAACAAAAAAAGTAGTAAAGATATCAGCTTATTTCATTAGTTTATTTAATGTTCAATAGTATACCCATATGGAAGATACTTGCACCTCTATTTATACAACTTCACATTCTAATTGACGGTGGTGATCATTTTCATCTAAATGCTACGCTATTTCTACAATTTTCTACCAAATGTATGAAATGTATATAAAGGAAGATCTTCTAAAGATTTCTATTTTAATGGGAATATTTTAAAAGATCCTCTAGAATCTTCTACTATTGGACCTAATCACCCTTTCTTTTTGGGTTCGTTTGATGGGTCACTTTTAACCCCTTGGTTCCAAGGCAAAAAGGGCGGCTTGTGACATAGAGCGGCAAAAAGGGCGGCCTGTGACATAGAGCTTGTGCTCGCGAGCTCGAACTTGCTAAAAAGCTCGACTTATTCCCAGTCACACCCCCTAGTGTAAGATATCATAATCAAGATAAGTAAGCTATGATGGTTTCATTTTATATATTATAGAACTAAAATGCTAATTGTAGCGGGACTTTTACTGAAGTTGGCTTATTTGCAACGGTAGTCTCATTTGTCAATTTTCTAACTTTCTAAAAAAATCAAAACTCTCTCAACTAAAAAAATCGAAAACATAGAATTTGAAGCTCGTTTAACAAATTCGAAAACAAACAACAACTTCTTCGATGGCCGATCCGAATTACTTTTATGAGGTAAAAAGAAAAAAAAAATTAATGGGTAATCGTGCTGTACAGCACGATAAGTATATATATAAAAAAAATTAAGTTACCCTTGCTATACAACACCGGAATCTGGGTATTAGTTCCCCCCATTTTTTTCTCTTTTTCGTTTTACTGTATTTTTTAGTATTATTAATATATTAATTATTAATTTTTATAATTTGATAGGGTGATGATGGTGAATCCGATAAAGAATTTGACGATGATAATGTTTCTTAAATTATCTAAAAATTCGATATAAAAAAAAATAATCAAAATTTTTTGAAGCTCCGGTTCTGCAGAGTTTTCGTTCTCTGCAGAACGGGAGCTTAAAAAAAGTTGAACTCTCCATTCTGTAAAGGACGAAACCCAAAAAGAAATGGTTCTGAAGCTCCCGTTCGGCAGAGAACAAAATCCCAATAATTTTCAAAATAAAAATAAAAATTGAACTTTCCGTTCTCTAGGGCACGAATACTTGAAGTTCTTCAAGCAACCATTTTGCAGAGCACGATTGCTTGAAGAATTTTCAAGTTTTCGTGCCCTAGAGAACGGGAAGTTCAATTTTTTTTAATTTTTTTTCGAAATTTACCTAGATTTAATCCTAAACATGCGTTTGTACGGGAATTGAGCCTCGTTAGCTACGTCTTCAAAGTCGAAATATTTTCCGAAATTCGAATGTCTTGAGAGAGTTTGAGAGTAAAAAAATTAAATGAAAAAGATACCGCTGCATTCAGTAAAAGACCCGCTGCAAATAGCAACGCCCATTAAGTTAAGGAAGTTAATTGAACTCTTATTCGCTTCATTTAAATTTAATTTAGTTATTCATGCAATTGAGTTAGGTATATTTCACTCTAAACGACACCGTTTCCTCTATGCATCAAGTGGCAGCACCAGTAATAAATTAAATTAAAATAATATAAACGAACAAATAAATGCCACTGAAATAAATCCCAGCGCTCCCTCCCTCGGCCCTAGAGTTCATCACTGCCGAGCAGATCTAGATCCCAAATCAAGGTTCGATTTTCACACACATTAGGTAATCTACATCTTTTCTATTTTGATTTTCCCCCCTTTCGAGTTCATTGTTTATTTGATTCAATTTTTTTTTTGTTTCTAGGATTATGTAATTTTTAATTTTTCTTTATAATCACGAATCGTGATCAAGTCGAACTTCAGTTGCTCGAGCCGTGGTGCTGCGTTTCGATGTTTTGGGTTGAAAAGATTTGGTTTTTTTTTGTTTCTGCTGAATTTTCCCGCCATTAAAGAGCTTGAATTAGTTCGATCATTGCTTTTTTGAAGTTGTAAATTGGAGTTTGTCTGCTTGCTGATCTTCTATGCTGGTGGAAATATATCAGCAAATGGAAAAAAAATAATATTTTTTTTCGAGCAATCACGCTAATTAGGGATGGGTTTCTCGTTGAATAATTTAGTTGATGTAGTGATCTCCTCTATAAATATTTGTTGCATAATTGTGCATATAGTAAACTAAGGTCTCGCTTGGTTGGAGAGATTAGCCATGATTAACTAAATAATAGGACTTTGTTCGATGTTTGGTATCCCCAATAACTCGCCGGGTTGACCCGCAAATATTATGTTATCATGGCTTATCTTGCCTTCTAGGCATGTTTTTTATTAGATCATCGAAGGTCCAATAATAGAATCGGGTTTCATTAGATTATTTAATTTTATCTTGGCAACCAAACGAGGCCTACTAATGAGTTTTCTTGCTGCAGTGAAGTGATATTTTATAGTGTTTTGGTTCTGGTTCCAAAAATTTGGATTAATGATCTTGTGATTTTGATCCTGTTTCTAGCAGGTTATTACCGTTTCGCCACTGTAAAATAATGTCAAGAAGACCCAATACTTCTCGTCGATTTGGTGACAGTGTCGGCATTCCTTTTGTGGGTGCATTGCATACCAAGTCCCGTCAATCTCCCCTACTTTCTATAGGACTTGTTGTAGTGGTAAGTAAATCTTGTCTTCTTTTACTCTTCACATGTCCATTTATGCATATGCAATTACGTGTGCTTGCTCTAGTCGCAGAAATTGTTCAATCATTAAAATATGGCAGAAGGGTATTATTGCCCGTTGTTTACTTCTGACGATGCGGCTGTCTGATATGAATAAGTTGCTGTTTTTTTTTAATTATAATTTATAAATATATATATATTTCGTAATGAGAAAATTGATGGGGGTAACTCTGTGGAATTTTCAGGGAGCACTGCTGATTCTTGGTTATGTGTATCATGGTTCAGGTCTGTTGTTGACATACTCACAAACACACATCGTATGATAATTGATATGATAACATTTGATCATTTTAACCGTTCTTTTCATAAGGGATTTCGGTTAAATAATCATCTGTGAAGTTCGTTTTCTTGATTTAATATTCAAACTCTTTCTCGACAGGTGGTGGGAGTGGTGACATAGCTGCTTTAAACAGACTTGATGGTAACTGCCTACAATTTACAAAGCAATGTTCATTATTTTAAGCTTTTTTTTTTCCCCAATAGAGGCTGTTTTATCTTTCGATTTTTGCATCTTCATGTGGTAGCATATACTATATAACATGCTTTGAGTGATAAAATGCAAACATTTGTATTTTATAAAAAAATATAACGTTTCCTTCTGTTACATATAAAAATCGTCCATTTACTGTTAATAGATAAACCTGGCTCCAAATAAATCCCATTTAAGATAAAACAATGCATGCATGTATATATATATATATATATATATATATATATATATATATATATATATATATATATGATTATGTTCGTGTATTACATACAGGTGGTGTTTCATGTACACTAGAACTGCAAACACTAATACCGATTCTCAAGAAAGCATACGGTGAAAGCATGAGGAAAGTGTTGCATATAGGCCCCGAAACCTGCTCGGTAGTTTCCCAAATACTGAAAGAAGACGACACCGAAGCATGGGGCGTAGAGCCGTACGAGATGGACGATGCCGATGCCAACTGCAAGAGCCTCGTGCGCAAAGGGGTTGTGCGCGTGGCCGATATCAAGTTTCCCCTTCCGTACAAGCCTAAGTCCTTTTCTCTTGTCCTTGTTTCGGATGCTTTGGATTACTTATCACCAAGGTACCTTAATAAAACCGTTCCTGAGTTAGCTAGGGTTTCCGCTGATGGCTTAGTCATATTATCTGGTAATTTTCCTAATTTTATACATTTTTCTGTCTAAGAAGATTTTGTATACGGTGTCAAGTTTTTGAATGTACTGAGGAAATTTGTGAATAAATGTAGGTTATCCGGGCCATAAAATAGCTAAAGGGACGGAGCTATCCAAGTTTGGACGCCCTGTGAGTCTCGACTTCTTCTTTGTTTTTCTATTTTCTGTGTTGGCGTTTTTTCGTTTTCTCTTTTTTTGGGGGTTCATTTATACATGTTAAGATGATAATAGATAGATGGTGGGGCGTCTAGGGGTGGAAATCCGACGGTTCGGATTGAAATTTTCATTTTCATAGAAAAATTCCAATTTTTTCCAATTCCGTTCCAAAAAGGAAAAATCGGAATTTCGGTAATTGGAATGAAAAAAACTCGTTCCAAATCGGACAATTTTGGATCTGAATCAACAGGTTTCGGAAAATTCGATTTTTTTAGTCACCTAAAATATAAAATGCATATATAATGATACTGTAAGTGTAATTTTAAGAAAAAAAATCCGAATTTTCGGAAATTAAAATCGGATCGAAAATGTGAATCTCATATATATTCCAATCATGATCCAAAAAATTCCGGAATTCAGAGTGAAATATATTGTTCAAAAATCGGAAAACTTCAGCTGAAAATCGGAAAATCTCTTCCAATTTCCACCCCTACGGGCGTCACGGCACATCTCTAAAATTTTTAATTTTTCACTATGATTTTACTCCCGAAGATCTGATATATATTCTGAGTTTAATTTGCCTGTTATTTTTTACTTTTTGCTCTGCAAAACGAATAATTGAATAAGCAAGGTTAACACTTGATAAATACATAAATTTTCTAGCGTAAGCACTTGTAAATCAGCATGTCGATCTTGATTGTGTAGGCCAAATTCCGGAGCTCATCGTGGTGGATAAGATTTTTCATCCAAACAAGGTTAGAAGAAAACGAAACTGCGATCAAGAAGTTCGAACAGGCGGCAGCTAAGAAAGCGTACAGGCCCGCCTGCCAAATCTTCCACCTCAAACCTTTGCATTGATTACCCGAAAATTACCATGTGCAGAAATTGTGTTCGTTTGTTTTATATACCAACGCGAGATATAATTATCGTTGATTGCGAAATTTTGTGATTTTTTTTTTTATAAATAAATTAATTTATTTCACCTGAGCTGAATTCATGTTTCTTTATCCAATGTTGTTTGTTTGATCAGATTTGCACAGGGACCTAATGCAAATATTGGAAATTCTATTTTTAGTTTTTTACCCTATTGATTATTGGTTATATTACATTGGACCCTCCTTAGATTAAATATATTTATGTACAGACCCTTGGATTTAGAAAATAGTACTGAAACGGTGAAACCTATAACTAAAAATCTAACTTAAATTTTATTTTGCAACCCTTCAACTTCTTTAGCTTTTTAACTAAAACCCAACTCTCTGTTCTTTAGCTTTTATCACCACTGTGAAATTCAACCTTTTCATTTCAATATAAAGTTTGAGTAAATTACAACTGACCTCTGAGGTAAGATTTATTTACCAGAAACCCCTATAGTTTGTAAATTTCTTACATTAACATCCTTTTGTAGGGGTGGATGTAAGAAATTTACAAACTGCAGGGGGCTGGATGTAAAAACAAAATTGGAAGAAAATGACGCCACCAATCTGAATTGTAAAAAGAACGGCACTAGAGCTTGCTAATGTGCGCCGCCGCCGTGTCCGCAACGCGCCATCCTCCATGGCCAGAGAACTCCATTACAGCTCAAAGAAATCCGGCGCTTCCACTTCTTCAATCGCTCCTCGCCTCCTCATCTCTCTCCTCTGCCTCGCCTCTCTCCTCCTCTGCTTCTCTCTCTTCCGAAACGACGTCGCATCGCCGTCGCTAACCTACTCGGCGGCGCCCGAGAAGATCAACGGCAACTGCAACCACTCCGATGGGAGGTGGATCTACGATCACTCGGTCCGATCTCCGCCGCGGTACGACCAAACATGCAAGGAGATATTCAAGGGGTGGAATTGCATCGCCGGCAACAAATCCAACGCAATTGATATCCTCAAGTGGCGCTGGAAACCCTACGGCTGCAATCTCGCGCCGTTTGAGCCGCTGCAGTTCCTGGAGAATTTTCGAGATACCAATATTGGTTAAGTCATCTTCATACTCATCTTTCTAACTCCACATTGAATATTCAGTTATATCGTATACAGATTGTTTTGGGGAATTCTGGATAAATTTTCTCTGTGGTGTTAATGTTGTAGAACTTATAGATTTTTTAATCAATGCAGGATTTGTTGGGGATTCATTGAATAGGAACATGTTTGTTTCACTTTTTTGCACTTTGAAACAATTCTCGGCGGAGGTGAAAAAATGGCGTCCTGTCGGAGCTGATCGTGGCTTTACGTTTGTTAAGTACAACCTTACCATTGCGTACCATCGAACGAATCTTCTGGCTCGTTATGGTAGGTAAGCCGAGTAGTCGAGTACCTATAATTTTTGGGCGTGCTTTGTCGAAAAAATGTCAATAATCCCTCTGATGAAATCTGTTTATCTGTGACATTTATGTGGTATTTGATATTCGGTTTTCGAAATTTTACTTTCTCACCTTACAGAATAGTGTCTATTCAATTGTAGACTGATGAATTTTCTATTATTCTGCGTCAATTTACTAACTGTCGTAATATATATTTTTTTTTTCTGTTGAGGAAATTTCACCTTTATGTTGGCTCTAGACTACGAGATAGAATGTGCTCGTATTTCGTCACATTTAGTTCCGGAGTTTGTATTGATATAGGTCTCTTAGTTTATTGATGCTATATTCGAATTATATCGACGGATGTAATATCAACGTTTCAGTTCACATCTTTTATCCATTTCTAACATAGTACTCTGCCTTTGCTTCTGTGTTTTCTAGGTGGTCAGCCAGTAGTAGTGGTGGTATGTTGGAGTCGCTTGGTTATAAGGAGGGCTATAGAATTGACGTTGATTTACCAGACGGAACTTGGGCAGAAGCTCCAAGTTTCCACGACATACTCGTATTTAATACAGGACACTGGTAATTCACGTTTCTTTTGCGCTTGTTAAGACTGATTCAATTGCTGTTTGTGAAATTGGACCTACTAAAATTAGAAGTTGTGGATGCTGTTATGCACCCGATTCCGGATATAGTATTATTTTATTGCTCCCTGAATGCTTAAGCTGAAGGTCGTTTGCTAGCCTTGATTTTTTTTTTTTTTTTTAAACTAGTTGCATTGCTTAATCTATGTTAATTAATTTGATGAGCAGAAACTCAAATCTTTCTCTGATTGTCGAGCCAATTAGTAGACTTGTCATAAACCATTAATTGCTTGTCGTCTACTTCTTACCCTGTTACCCAAGATTACCCGTGAACAGTAACATTTGTTGAGTGAGTGATTCGTGCATTAAGATTTATCTGGTGTAAACTGCAGCGTCTTGTTTCTGTTAAAACTAGTCAGAATTTTTAATTTTTTTTGTGTGTTTTGTTTTCTCTCGATTCTTGCTGGAAATTTGTATGTGAAATTGAAATTTTATTGCTCATCATTTATTTGGCTCCTCGATTGTGTTTTACAGGTGGTGGGCTCCTTCAAAGTTTGATCCAGTGAAATCGCCTATGCTTTTCTTTGAGAAAGGTGTACCTGTGACTCCTCCAATCGCACCTGATGCTGGCCTTGATAAGGTCTTAACGCACATGGTATGATCCTAACTTCAAACTCGAGTAATTTTGTTTTGTGCGAATAATTTGCCATCTTTTGTTATGCAAAGACCGATAGAACTATTTCTTTGGAAGTTCAATTATGTGATTCTTACCAGATTTTGCCTGCAAATTAGGTGTCGTACGTGCAAAAGATTGCACGGCCCAATGCAATTCTGTTCTTCCGAACACAATCGCCTAGGCATTTTGAAGGAGGCGATTGGGACCAAGGTGGTTCTTGTCCTCGTTTACAGCCTCTGGTCCCACAAGAAGTAAGTTTTTTTTTTTTAAATATTTTTTTTAGGCCTTAAGCGATGTCAGTGTAACGGTGGTATATTAAAATCTATCTATGATCAGGTCGAACAATTTTTCTCTGTTGAGAAAAATGGTACAAATGTGGAGACACGACTTGTAAACCAGCACCTAGAAAAGGCTCTGAGAGGTTCGAATTTCAAAATACTGGACATAACTCACTTGAGCGAGTTCAGAGCTGATGCCCACCCATCGACAGCTGGCGGTAAACGACACGATGATTGTATGCATTGGTGCTTACCTGGACTTACCGATACTTGGAATGACTTGTTCATAGCACATTTAAACGGCATTAAACTTCGGAATTAAAGAAACATTTTTTTTCATTATTAGTTCTATTATATACTTTCTCATGTTTGGAAGCATAGCCACTATTAGTTACATCGGAGCACTTCGAAGTTTTGCACGTGTCGTGAACTAGTCATGTAAACATTCACAAAAAAAGATAAAAATTCGATTTTCGATTTTATTATGTATTATATTTAGATTATTTACACTTCACTATTCAACTAACACCGTTATATCATACCATGTTAACTGACCACCTCATCTAAAGCTTAATCTGGTATTCGATGAATTATTTAATACTTATATCTCCAACATAGAAAAGAAAAAACAAGAACATACGTAAATAATAATAAACATTATTTTTAAAGTTTGGCGTGCTTGTAACTTAAATATCAATATTTTACGAACACCACTCGTCGCTCTTAGGTACATTCGATCGGAGGTACAATATACAATCAAGTAATTAACACTCTCAAAAGACAAACCCTAAACTTAAGCAACACTTAATCTCATTCTTTAGTAAAGGTGAATCAAAAGTTTCATCCAAATTCAATGGCTAAGTCCACAATTAGCACAATGGGGAATGTTTTTAAGTGACTTTGATTAGGGTTACTTAAAAATTGTATTAGTATAATGCACATGCTATTTGCACACAATTAGGATCTAAACACTAGTGTACATGCATGCATGGTAACATTCAATTTTCTATAAATACCTAATAAATTATCCCTCCAATATATCATCCAAATCAATTTCCAATTTCATACATACTATACATTATATTAACAAGATCAATCAACAATGATTTCACCTAAAATCCCCACAATTTTCATATCTTTTGCATTAATATTAATATCATTCTTGATAACATCGTCCTCGGCGCAGAGCGCGCCCCAAGACTACGTCAATTGCCACAATACCCCTCGGGGGCAAGTGGGGGTGGGCCCCGTCGTCTGGAACACGACCCTCGCCAGTTACGCGCAGACCTACGCCAACCAGAGGGTGGGCGACTGCGCGCTGACGCACTCGACCGGGCCGTACGGCGAGAACCTGGCCAAGGGCAGCAGCAGCACTTTCACCGGGGTGGCCGCGGTGAATCTGTGGGCGGCGGAGAAGCAGTACTACACCTACGCCACGAACACGTGCAGCGCGGGGAAACAATGCGGGCACTACACGCAGATCGTGTGGCGCGAGTCGGTGCGCATTGGGTGCGCGAGGGTCAAGTGCAACAACGGGTGGTACTACGTCGTTTGCAGCTACGACCCGCCGGGCAATTGGGTCGGGGAGTGGCCTTATTAGACATAAAAAAAATCCAACACTTATTTTCACACGTGTGGGGAGTATGTTATAGCATTAAATAAAACGAGAAGGAATTTAAATAAACCGGTTTTCGATCGGCTAATGAGTCGATGACTAACGACTAATTAGTTATTTCGTTAGCCGTAAACCGGAGAATATGTGCACGTGTTATATAGTGTTTAATTACTTTGTTACCACTAAGTGTTGTATACATTTCTTTGAGTAAAAAGCAGTTTGCCCCCTAAACTATGGGCCGATTTGCACTTTACCCCCCAAACAAAAAAAAATTGCACGTTTTTACCTAAACTTGTTATTTCGTTGCACGGTGCCCCCTAAACTCAATTTCCGGCAATTTTGACCGGAATATTAAAACATGGGCCTTGCACGTGAGATTTACAAATTTATTTATAATAATTTTATTTTTATAAATAAAATTATAATAATTTTTTTATATTTTTTTTTCTTGGGTTTTTTTTTTTTTTTTTTTTTTTTTAATTTATGAAGAATGTAAGTGAATAGACTCTTTTGCCCCTTTAAAACTCACGTGAAAAGCACGTGCGTAAGATTCCGGTCAAAATGGCCGGAAAATTCCAATTTTGAGGCACCGTGCAACAAAAACCGAAGTTTAGGTAAGAACGTGCAAATTTTTTTTGTTCGGGGGGCAAAGTGCAAAACGGCCATTTGTTTAGGGGGTAAACTGCTTTTTACTCTAAAAAATAAGGGTCTTTATTGAAATTTAATTTTCATTAGTTAGTTAGTTACTGATTAATCAGTTTCTTGGCTTTGATTCCAACACTAATCACGGTAAACGTTCGCTAATTCCATTATTAAATCAACGATCAAGATTAACGATCGAGATCGATTAATAGATATATCAATACTTGGTAAGCGAACACTCGCGGGGGAGATTATTGTTAAACCTCGGATAATCCCGGCAGTAGTCATAAACGAGGTAATATTTCCTGACCCATCGGTACAATCTTCGTTGCGCCCACGTCAACGAACCGAACCGGTCGTTATTCCACCAATTCGTCGGGCTCTCCGCACTACACAATCCCGGGTCGTCTCCCTTCCAAATGCATGCATCGATCTTGTGGTCTTTAAACGACGCCGTAAAGGGCGAATTCGTCCAGTCGATCTTGTCTTTCCCGCCATTTGTCGCCCAATCTTCGCCGTTCCAAATACTCGTTTGTAGGGCCATCGGCTGCCACGTCGGATACGGCACGCCTTTGTCGGCGTGGTTTCTGTATGTTCTTATGGGCACCCAATCCACCATAAATCTGCATTAATTAAATTAATTAATTAATTAATTATGTTTTGAATTTAATTAATTAATGAAGTAATTAATTAAATTAAATTACACAATTTGATGAATGTTCCATAGAATGGAATAGGTGTGGAAGTCTTTAGTGGGATCAAACCAAAGCTTTATTCTCTGCTCTCTCTCATCAAATCCATTTGCATACACATTTGTTTGGAGAATATAAGGTTGACCAGCCACATTTCCTAGGAACTCAAAGTCAACCTCGTCCCTGTTTGTTTGGTTTGAAGTCAACTGCATAATATGTAAACACAAAAAATAAAAATAAATATAAATATATATCAATAAAATTATTATAAATAAATAAAAAAAAAAATTAATTACATAAAATGCCACAACTGTGCCTGCTGAATTCCCAGGTATCAGTTTAATTTTCATGTCAAATTGACCAAACAAGAACATGTCATTTGTAACAAAACCACCACCTGTACAAAAATAACAAATAAAAAACAAATAAATTGAATATATTTGTGCATGTTTTTCAGACCAGGAAATTAATTAAGAAAAAATAAAAAGAAAACCTGAATTCTTGTCAAGTATTAAGGTTCTTTCTGTTCCATCAGGAGATGTGTTGACATGGCTCGGAGACCAATTCACGGAGAAATCCTTGTTAAAATCTCCCGTCGAAACAACCAAAGCCCACGACGAGCCGCCTTGGATCGACACAATAACGATTAAAACGAAAAATTCGGATAAATTATTCATTTTTTTTGAACTATGTAAAAATTCGGATAAATTAAGGCTATATATATATATTGCATTTGCATGGGAGGTTGGTGAGAATGTGAAGAGCTAGAAGCAGTAAAGAGTATTGAGTAAGCAAGAATATCTTTACTAAGAAGCAAAGAAATATACTATATGTAACATTTATTATTTAAGCACATTCTTTTTAATACAAATTAAATTGAATTTTATAGGTTTATGCTTAGACTTATTACATCAAGATGACAAATTTAGATTATTTGTTTGCAATATTCGAAGCTTTTGTGTTAAAGAAGCTTTTTTTAGAACATTCCCAATGGCAGAAAGCATGTAGCAAAAGTGAGAGGATTGCATTTTGCATGCAATATATATATATATATATATATATATATATATATATATATATATATATATATATATATATATATATATATATGGGGATATATATATATATATATATATATATATATAGTTGGGAATTTAATTAATTTAGTTTTATAAGCAATCTTTCGTCACCAATTCCAAGTTTTCAACTATTCTTTTCGGCGGCTCAACAGTAATCTCCTATTTTCGGGCATATTTTTTTTTCTTGATTATGCAATGAAATATTTGACTCTATACCTTTCACAGCAACAAACGAATTTTCCTATTACAATTGTTATTGTCATATATTTAAATATATTTTTTTTCAATTTTGAAACGCTATCTCGTACATCGCACGAGAATAGATACTAGTTGAATTGAAAAAGACTTGCATAAATATTCAAGTGAAACATTAATATAATATTGATCAATATACTTCCCTAAACCAAACAAGATTGAAATAGCCACTTAATTTTTTATTAAAAAAAAAAAAGAAATAGCGACTTAATTAATGAGAAAATTATAAATCAAATTAAAAAAAAAAATTGCATCTCAACGAAAGACATTAGGGCCATCATTAATTTTCTAAATTATTTTATTTATATAATTAAAAATATGTACTATATAAGTATATAACTTGCACCAATCATGTTCAGGCGACTTTAATTTTAAATCAAATGAAATCTACTCACAAGTTATGTGCTTAATTTTAAATTCAATTGACTTGATCTATTTAAATTAAAAAAATGTTAAACTTGTGAATTTGAAATATAAGTAGAATCATAAAGTATCAACCCTCAAATCTAGATCAAACGAGTTGAGCATGATGTGGAAATCGGGACGGACCAACTCGAAATTAGTACTTTCGGAAATTTTAAAAAGAACCATAAATTAAAATTTTGAAAACTGGAGAAAAAAAATTCGGATTGAATCAACATAATTCAAAAAAAAATACCTTTTTATTCGCATATATATAATATAAAGTACATAATATATTGGTATATAATAAATACATAACATAGATTTTTTTTTTCCGAAGATTTAAAATCGGATTCTCATATATTCCAATTCGAATACAAGAAAATCTGAAAAATTAGGAATTGAAGTTTTGAGAATTCGTAATGAAAAATAATGTATCAAAATCGAAAAATTTCAGATCGAGATCGGTCAATACAAAAATTCCGTTCCAATAGACCCGTTTCATTTTGTTAATTTATTAAAAATACATTTAAAATAATTCCCATCCTTGATTTATAATTTTGTTTACAAACGATATTATATAAAAACTCGTATAGAATAAAATTAAAATAGGGTGTAGCGACTAATAGTAAAAAAGTAAGATACTGCAGGGAAGGAAACCGGATACGACCCGTTTGATATACGGGTATAACCCGAAAACCTGAAACATCAGAAATGAGTTCCCCCAATTCCCAACTACAACTGTCTCCCCACTCTTGCTGCCAAAATTACAGAAACCTTCCGCCATTTATTACTCTAGATCAGAGAGTAGAGAGAGAGAGAGAGAGAGAGAGAGAGAGAGAGAGAGAGAGAGAGAGAGAGAGAGAGTGAGTGTGAGTGTGTGTGTGTGTGAGAGAGAGAGAGAGAAGGCAAAAAGATCGAAGCATTTTAGTGGATAATTAATTGATTACAAGCACTTCTTCGTGTTTGCGGCAGAGTTGAAATTGAAACTACTGCGAGAAGTTTTAACAATTCGAAGTAACTGCTACTTCCGATTCTCGTTTTCTTCTCTCCAGGTATGCCGTTTTCTTCTGTTCTTCTTATTTACTGTGGTTTATTACTTCCATCTTATTTTTCTTTCTATTTTCAAGGCTTTTTTGACTTCGATTGTGAGTGATTGGACGGTTTAATTGTGTGGTAAAATTAATTTTTTGAATGCTTCTGTGGAATCATGAAGTATTTGATGGAGCTTTTAGGTATTTACTGGATTTGTTTGACTTGAATGTATTGGGGGTTTTGCTTTCAGCAGTTCGTCGGATGGTGAAATTATTTATTGATGTTTGCATAATTTATAATTTAACATATGCTTTTTTTAATTGTTGTAATTAATTTCACGATTTCAGTTCCTTGTTTGCCTATTTTGTTATGTTATTGGAGTAAATTGATGATGCATTGTTGAAGAGAGCGTAGTGATTGAGTTGAAGCATGAGGAATAATTCTTAGGGCTTCTCGAAACTACACTTGCCCCTCCCGATTGTTAATTCATATCAAGCTAATTACGGGATGTTTTTTAAATTTATTTCCTTTGGTTAAAATTGATTTCATTTTTTTTAAACCTAGGTGTTCATTAGTTAAGTACATCGAAGGTTATTGCGACCTTGGCATTTTCTCGTTGTTCAGTCAATGCAAGCGGCGGAATTTGGGAAATAAATAAAACCCAGTGATTGCATATAGAAGGGATGAGATCAAGAATTGAATTAGGGTCTAACTCTGGTTACGTAGAAGTTACTCTTGTAAGGTAGATGAGGGTTTAATATCTTTCATTGAAAGAGAATCTATGTGCATTCTTATTTTGTTTATTTTCTGTTTTTATTGAATCTCTTTGTGTTGACTGATAAGTGATAAGAGCATGGGTTCTGTTGTTACGGAAATGAATTAGTGATTCTAGTCCTTTATTTTGTGGGATATATACCATTTGTAACCGTTCAGTTATATTTTATCAAGGAAAGACGGGATGTAATTATGTCAAAATCATGAAACTTCTCGTAATGAAACTAATGGTGGATTGGTAGTGTGGTACTATGAAATATGTATCGTTGGAACTTCTTGTTCGGTTTGTTTAGAAATTACACGAAACATTATTAACTGGAACTCTGAAAGTTATCTCACGAGCAAATCTTAATTCTTCGTTATGCTGCTGAACGGGACCTAATTTCCATGAGTCGAAGTTTCTTTGTGTTTTCTACTAGTCTATGCAATGTGTTTGCTATTATAGTAGCTCAAGCTCAGTCCATTTTTTCTTCGTTTTTTTAAAGTAGGATCCATTTGTTTGACTACTCTAGTGCACTCTTGTAACTGCTGACTGATGAAAAAAGTCGAGGGAAGTATATTGAGTGGATACTGGAAGAGAGATTATCTTGAAAAGGCCGAATTATAATGTGAAAACTTCATATTGCGAGCCCTGTATTGTTTCAGTTCAATGTTGGATTTCACCAACTTATTTTTCTTCTAAAGTTAACAGGTTCTGTTTGGATAGCAGTGAGAGAAGATAAATAAGCAAAGAAAGCATCTTTGGGTAAATCACTATGTACAGGCAGTCCCCGAGTCGGAACCAGAGATCCAAAGGGATCAGGGTTAAGCATGTTATACAGATTTGTGCTCTCCTTGCTGTTTGCTTTTGGTTGATATACCAAGTCAAACATTCCCATGACAAGAAGAAAGAGTTCGAAGAAAGCGACGCAAAAGCCTTAACCGAAGGAGCAAACAGCAACGATCTTATAATGCTCGGAAGGAAAGATATCCGCCCCCTAGTTGAGGAAACAACCTCCAAGAATGTGAAGCACGATGACTCAGCAGAAGAAGATGAAGAAGTAGAAGAAAATAGGAACGAAGAAGATGAGCCAGAGGGCAAAAGGGTGGAAGCTAAGGAGGATGAAACAGACGAGCACGAAGAAGAAGAGAAATCGGATGTAGAAGCTAATAAAGAAGATGATGTGGTAGAAGTTGATAAAGAAGATGATGTGCCGGATGAAGAGGAGAGAAACGGCGAGGAGATCGAAAATCAAGAAACGGATTCCGAGGAAGGTCAAAGTCAAACTGAGAAGGAGAGTTCGAAGGAGGATACTGATAATCATGAAGCGCGCGAAGAACATTACAAGGCAGATGATGCTTCTAGTGCTGTGACTCATAATACCCCGATATTAACTAACGGAAACGAGAGTGAACTTTCGGAAAATGTTGAAACGGAGAACAAAGAGAAAACCAGTGAAGGAAATAATGGAGAGACTAGGAAAGATTTAGAGGTGGGAGGTGAAATGGCTCGAGTTGACAACCAGTCAAATGCAACCACTGCTGAAACCGAGGTAGAAGGTTCATTATCGACGAATAATACGTTGACAGGTGGATCCGATGATCAGGTGAGCAACACCTCACCTGAGGTTATAATAGAGACTCGTGATGATGTGTCCTCGCAGAATGTGACAGAGGGAGCCAATAATTCTTTCGTAAATGTGGATAATAATAATAGTACAGATTCTTCTGAATCAGAAAAGATTACCACGTCAGAAGAAGGGAATAACAGTGAGTCTAAATCAGAAAAGAACGATGAAACTCAGGCTGTGAAATCGGATGAAAGTGACGGTACATACGAAGCTTCGGAAACTACTGTGACTGAAAATCCGGAAGAAGTTGAGCATGAAGATATTGATATATCGGATACATCTAATTCTGAGGAAGATGCAAATGTTCGAGTGGATCTCGACACACTTCCACAGATACAAACAGAAGGAATCGAAAATGAAGAAGCTGCTGCAGAATGAACATACACCATGAACTGAAGTTTACCCCTGGTTTATTTTTCATAGTATCTTTTCTTCTTTTTTTTTTTGGGAAATATTATTTACTGTGTGGTGTTTTCGCTTTCGACTTTTGCAGGTAAAGTTTAGGCGAGTTGAGGGTAATTAAAATTTTCTTATAATATGTACAATCAATCAATCTAGTTTGTTTCTATATTTTGTTTCCGTCGACGTATTACGCATGGCATGATCGAATCGTACACGCGCCCACATGGATGTGTGTGTGACCTATTTTTTGGTGCAATTTTTTTTTTCTTTCTATTTTCTTGGAAGATTTTTGTTTGATGTCAAATGGTGGCTATAAAGACTTATGAGATTATGGGTTTGGTGAGAAATTAGCTGGTAAATGAAGAGATGCCAGTTGGGGGTTGGCCTATTTCACATCTAATTAAAAAGAGTGGCTATGGTTTAACCTCATTTTCCAAAGCATATTAATCTATTATTATGGTGCACTACCCTTGGCCACATTTCTAATCTGAATTCAAGAAAATGTGCAACTAGCTGAACTAGAAATGGGACTTTAATTTTTAAATTTCTTCGATTTTGATTCGTATTTTGTTTCTTAAGAATAATTCTATTTTATTCCAATTTCAAATAACTTCCAAAATATGAACTATCGTATAATAACTTGCAAATTATGGCGTAACTGTTAACAAATGGATGAATTAATTCACACATGCTTACATGCTCCAATCGTTAAGTCGACAAAGAAATTGTAGTAGGTCAACAGAATAACAAGAGTGGCATGAAACAAAGCAAAATATTATTCGAATATTCAATCAATCATAAATAAAATAAAGAAAAGAATTGTCAACAGAC